CCCAGGACACGGACTCAGCGGTGAGGCTGCACTCAACCCTGACACAGCGCAAAGAACGGGCCTGCCCCAGAAACACCCCCCGGCCCTGCCCCTCCATATCAGGTGTGGGCAGACAGGCTCAGCAAGGCAGGATCCAAGTGTGGAGGGGCTTAGTGGGGGGACAGGTGTGGGTTGAGAGGGTTCTGTGGGAGACAATCTGGGTGTGGGCAGCTCACTGTGGAATCCAGGTGTGGGGGGGGATCTGGATGTACAGGGACTTGTTGCGGGGTTCTAGGTGTAACAGTAATGGGACACTGCAGGGGGGTCCAGGTGAAGGTGGCTGGGGCTCAGGTATGGGGGGGGGCTGGGTGTAGGGGGGATAGAGCTCAGTGGGGGGTCCAGGTGTGGGGAGATTTTGGGGGATCCAGATGCTGGGGGGAGTGGGACTCTGGGATGGGGCTCCAGGTGCAGCTAGTTGGGGCTCGGTAGGGTGCGGATTCAGGTGTGGGTGGCTCGTTGGGGTTGTCCAGGTGCGGGGGAGTGGAGCTCATTGGGGGGGTTCTGGGCATGAGGGGGTCTGGATGCACATGGGTTGGGCAGATGCAGGAACAGCTCCCTGTATAGTGATCCTTCCTCCTGCAGCTGAGGAGCGATTGGCGCAGGAAGCGTGGGGCAAGGGCGGAGTTTGCAGAGTTTCCTACAGCTGGGGGAGAAATCTGGGGGTGGGTCTGATGTGGCCCCGGATTCTGTGCAAGGGAAGAGAAAGTCCTGTCCTCCCCAGCCCAGATGGGACTAGCAGCTGAGCTCGGCGCAGGGTAGGAGCCACCAGCCATGTCTTCCCCAGTCAGCCCCCAGCGCCATAGTGATTTACCTCTCTGCCAGCTGCCCTGGGCACCCGAAACATGCTGCTGGGGTGGATTGCATGACAGCTTTTGTGGCTTCCCTTTGCTTCCCCATCCGAAAGTCATTTTTCTGCGGGGAAGCAAAGAAATTTGCGGGGCACATAAATTCTGCACATTTGCAGTAGCGTAGAATTCCCCCAAGAGTACAATATTCAATTGAATCCTATCAAATTTGATAGTAGAGCTGGAGCTCACTTAAATTTTATAGGATCATTAAAAACAACCACTTATAGAAAGGATCTCATTTAATATTAATTCTTATAAAAAACATATAGGTTGCTTGAATACATTGAGAGCTATGGTTTTCCCATGGATCTCAGTGCAAGCATTCAGTTAGAAAGCTATGCCTTCTCCCTCCTTTACCTCTCCCCCACTTTGAGGGGATGATGCTGTGATAATTCCTTGCAGTGAACTGCTTGGAGTTTTCTTTCCCAGGGGCTTTTAGTTTGATTTGTATTTGTCTCCATATGATGCACATAAAAATGCACCCAGTGTCATTTTATTTTCATATGCATCGCCATGGAGAGAGACACACACACATGTATGAGCAGAGTTAAACTATAAATCATGTGTGCACAGTAAATACATGACGTATATGTGATGAGAGTCATCTGTCTAGTTCTGTTAAGGCATTGTCACAGTGTCGTCACCAGGGCTTATCAGGTTATGGTGTAAGAATGTGGAGTCCCAAATTGTGCAACATGTGTACTGTTTAAAAAAATCAGTAAATAAAGTGCCTCTGAAAAGGGGAGAGAATTATTCCAAACAGCCTTTGGATTTGGAAAGTTCTCAGCGCAGCTGGGACGAGGTATGTGTCAGGTTTCTCCTCCCCCCATTGTTTCTTGAAAGAAAGAAACTCCTTCCTCTTCCACCCTCTCATGCCCCTCTGTTGGCCCTGCAATCCTGTTTAATGCCTGTTCTGATTTATTTTCTGGGCGAGGTATCCGTCCATTGGCGAATCTGGAGCTTCCCTGTGAATTTTCCATCAGAACGTCGCTGAGCCTGTTTGTTTTTCTGTCTGGAATGTGGACATGCTCTGTTAAACTGCCAGCTGGATTGTCCGGGATGTTGGCTCACAGTCTGTTACAGCTTCTCTTTTTTCCTTTTCTCTCCCCCCCCCCCACCCCCCAAGCTGTGGAAAAGAGGTTGAGATTTTCCGGGTTACTGAAAGGGGAGAAGGAATGGGGAACAGCCACACCTAGTACAAGAAGTACTTTTCCTATTCTCTGTGGTTTGGAAACTCATCTCTGGAATATTGGTGTTTCCAGTCTTATTTTCTTTCTTGAGCGTAATTATAGTACCACAGGGAACATCTTTATCTCCACTAGTGGAAAGCAGTTTTCTAGGGAAGCATTCATTGTATCTGAGTGCTTTCAAAAGAGCATTTTTTTCATTCTCTTTGAACTTTCCATTATTCTTCTTTTGCACAACTATCAAGCTGTCTCCATTTCCCACTAGCCAAGGGACACAGATGGAAATAGGTGGAACCATGCTGTTCCTGGATGTAATGGTTCAGTGCTGGTGCCAGGGGCGGATGGTTGACTGTTTAGCGCTCTCTCCCCACCACCACCAAAGGCCAAGCATGTCACTACCACAACATAGTCATCTCTCAGTGACTCAGTAGACTATACAGTGTAGCCAGCCTTCATTTCATCTTCTCCTGTCACATACTCACTGAGTGAACTTCTCAGCTGAGAAGTACTGAGTTTACATGTACTATTTAGCTAAAGTTGAATTTTTAATTAGGACCATCTGAACATGGGCTCGTGGGAGACCTTTGCAGTGCAACCTGACAGTCCTTATCCCTTGGGCTGAGTTTTGTGCAGAGGCTGGCTACAGCTGGCATAATATTATTTGTATTACCGTAGTACCTAGGACACCTACTTATGGTACAGGACCCTGTTGTGCTAGGGGCTGTACAAACACAGGAGCAATAGATGGTCCGTGCCCCAAGAGGCTTACAGTTGAAATAGAGCTGCCATGGGGGAGAGGAGGCCTGTTTCAGATAGAGACAAAGGTGGCATATGGCTCCTCTCCTCACCCCAAACCCACCTCAGCTACGCAGAGTGTACGTACGACACAGCTGAGGATTGAGCACAATAGATGTAATTTAAAAGTGAATAAATGTTTCATTCAAGAAGATACCATCAAAATGTGTTTGTCTGCCTAGGTTAGGTCAGGATGAAGATATTTAGTTAAAAATATTTTGATGGAAAATTGGATTTTTGCTCAAACGAAAATGTTCATGGAAAGTGCTTGCTTTTCTCAACTATTTTCAGTTTTTTTCATTAAAAAAATAGAAACTAAATGGTTCAGTTTTTGGCTAAACATTTTTTGATTGCCAAAGGCTGAAGAGATTTTGATTTTCAGGTTTGGGGTTTTTCTATGAAATGTTGACATTTTGCACTGAAATATCAACAAAAACTAAAGTTTGTTAGTTTTTAAAAAAATGATGTAGAGGAGATAATCCCTTTCAGACCAGCTGTACTCTAAGTGTTCATTCTGTGCTCAGCACCAGGATAATGAAAGGTAGAGGCAATTTATGAAAACATGCATTAGGTTGAAATGGATTTATTTTTAATTTATAAAATGTCTCTAACGATCAAAGTTCCAGGTGCAAGTACAAAATTTAAAAAATGTATGAATTCTGAATAACTTAATCTGTTAAGAGAGCATACCTTTCTCCAAAACAAAGTGAACTCTTTCACCCCTGGTAGGAGATGTGGGAAATTCTCCTGCTAAGCACTAAAGAAATCCTAACCTTGGCTTTAAAGAATTAAATGGAATTGACTTTCTCTGATATTGAGAAAAAGGAACACACGTTTCACTTACATATGTTTTACGCCAGTGTTTCTCAAACTGGGGCCGCCGCTTGTGTAGGGAAAGCCCCTGGCGGGCCGGGCCAGTTTGTTTATCTGCTTTGTCCACAGGTCCGGCCGATCGCAGCTCCCACTGGCCGCGGTTCGCTGCTCCAGGCCAATGGGAACTGCTGGAAGCGGCGAGGGCCGAGGGACGTACTGGCCATCGCTTCCAGCAGCTCCCATTGGCCTGGAACAGCGAACCGCGGCCAGTGGGAGCCGTGATCGGCCAGACCTGCCAACGGAGCAGATAAACAAACCGGCCCGGCCCGCCAGGGGCTTTCCCTACACAAGCGGTAGCCCCAGTTTGAGAAACACTGCTTTACGCTTACTGATTATGGGCTTAATTCTGCTCTCATTTAAATCAATGGCAAGCCCCTTATTGAGTTCAATTGGTCCCCAAATGTATATTGTATATGTACTGGCAGCGTATACTGCAGGTAAGAATATATATGTTTTACATGGCATGTCTATTTTACATAGGGTGACCAGATGTCCTGTTTTTAAAGGGACAGTCCCATTTTTTGGGACTTTTCTTACATAGGCACCTATTACCCCTCACCTCCTGTCCTGTTTTTTCAGAGTTGCTGTCTGGTCACCCTAATTTTACACAGCCACACTTATGCCACGTAAGTTATATCTACACAGCAGCTGGGAGGGTGATTCCCAGCTTGGATAAACATACATGCAGTAGCTCTGCTTGCTAAGAATAGCAGTGTGACCACAGCGTCACAAGCGGCGGCTTGGGCTAGCCCACCCAAGTATGTACCCAGGGGTTCGACAGGATTGTACGTGTGTAGCTAGCCCAAGCTGCTGCCTGTGACGCTGTGGCCACACAGCTAATTTTAGTGCACTAGCTCAAGCAGAGCTAGCGCATGTATGTCTACCTGTGCCGGAAATCACCCTCCCACATACTGTGTAGACATACTCTGAGAAGTGCTAAAGAAGGAGTTCTGAACCGTTGAATAAAATGTTAAAAACCTGCTCTGACTTTCTGGGAGGTGCATGCAGAGTGTGACACAAACACTTGTTTGTAAAGTGGGTTGCACACTTGTGGCCTGTGTAAATAGGTCAATAGCAATTAGCTGACATGACCGGTGCTGCTGTCCACAACCAATTGCAGATGTGATGCCCTTTCTAGTGATTTGATTGAATTTGTTTTTGTACCTCGTGCAGCAAAAATGAGAGATGGATGCATGTGACTGCAAAAGAAAAGGCCAGCTTGTAACTCATTCTGGTGTTTTGTTGTTTGTTTCCCCAGAATGTGAAAATTTCCTGGAAGATGGGCTGAGTGGAGACTGTGCCTCATCACAGGGTGTCCTGAAAAGAGAAACTGGAAGCGAGTCTGAACTCTTCCCCTTGCCTGGCGATGGGATGGATGACATCGTCTTTGGAAAGGTAGGGCTGTCTCAGAAGGCCAGCTTACTGATCCTAACGACCCTCCCCAGGCAAAACTCCCATTGATTTTGTGGGAGTTCTGCCTATATAACGACTGGTGATTAGGTAACTGGAAATAGATGAAGAGATAGGAAGGATCAGGCCCCTTGTGTACAGCTACAATGATGATCAAGAGGGACATGTTTGCTGTGGTTTTGCACAAAGTTTTTGATTTCCAGCAGGGTTCATTAAAGGGGATAATTTGATTTTAACTTTCTGCAGATAGATCAAACGCGATCGGAAGAGTTGAAAAAGTACCTTTCTTTCAAAGTCTCTAATAAGGGTTGCACAGAGGCTATGAAATCCAGTGTTACAAACGTTACATTTTCTCCTACAAACAGAGACCTCCTGCAAAGCACTGAGCTTTCCATTGGCCTCCTCTGCACTGTATACTACGGTTTGTTGGAGAACCAGTGTGATTCCATCACTTCAGTGAGAGTATGTTAAAAGGAAGAAAACACTCACTCTGGATACTTAGGGCCAATTGAACAGTGCAGAGTGGCATGGTTACATTGCCAGGCAATAGCAATATAAGTGATAGTAATAGCTCTAGTTGTTGGGTGTTTTTGAGTGACAGTGTTTCCAGTTTGCTAAGGGGCCTAAAAGTCCTGAGAGTCATCATTGGCCTGAGGAGGAGGAGGAGGAGGGTGAAAACCAAGATACAAGATCAGACTCTTAAATGAGAGTTGCTTTGTTTCAGAAGTTGCCTTGGGTCTACTGCTTCCTGGACCAGGACAGCCTGGTCTAACTTGAGAAGCAGAAACCACCCACCCTCAAATACTTCCAGCTGACCAATTTATAATGTTAAGATGCTTGCCTTCACCCACTCTATCTGGTGAAAGGATAAGCATAGGAGGTGGCTGAAAGGGCACCTCAGGAAAAAATGCTCCAGAATGAGAAGGCTCACTAGACTCCTGTGAACAACCGTCACAGAAACCTTGGCACAAGCTCTGTGTGTATATGGTGAAGCTTAGAATTCTGCACAGATTATTATTTATCATCTGTAGCCATCCCATGCTTACCTCCTGCTCAGACATGCGTTTCCTATCTTGAGCAACTGGAAGTCGGGGCGATTTTCATGCAAACTTCCAGAGAAATGCATTTAACAAATTGAATTTCTCTTTGGTTATATCAAGTCAGATGTTGGCGAACGTTTTCCAGCACGATGGGAAAGACCACAGCCTGGATTAAGTGATCTCATGTGCTGTAAATGCACTGGAAAGTCACCCTTAGTGAAAGTGGCAGGGCGTGGAGCTCACCAGCCTCGCCCTTTCCCATCTCAGTCACGAAATGGGGGAGGGGAACTTGCCTCTATACAGGGCTTTCCTTCAGGCAGAGCAGAGCATTGTCTCCAGTTATCTCATTCAGGGAGTTGCATGAGTTACAGAGTTCAGCATTGCTCATTATTTGAGTCTGATCTTAATAATGGTGTTTGTGGAACTGGCAGTGGGGAGTTAAAGTAAATAATGGCAAAACGTTTTACATTTCCCCCCCACGTTACAAGGTGTGTTTCCCAAAATATAACCACAAAAATGGAGGTTCAAAATGACATAGTAATCCAAAATGGCAGGAGTGTCACAGGGGAAAGAAACGTCAAGGTGTGGGGCCGAGGGAAGTGTGCAAGTAGGGTATATGATTCTTTAATGGCTCCGTTACAGTGACAGGGCAAGTATTGAGGAAATTTTCATTTGCAGAATGGAAAGCTCTTATCAAATCAGTGTTCTGAGACTTTTCCCACTATATGGTGGATTGCATCTAGAGATGGGTGTAAAACTGAAAAGATTTAGCAATGTAGTTTGAAAGCTTATTCAAAGCTGAAATGACTTAGTTGACCTCTGCCTTACAAGCACTTTTGTCTCCCCTTTGCTAACCCTCCAGATCTAAACAGAAGGGTTCCCTTTTCCCTGTCTCTCTCCTTCCTATATGTTTGGCACCTCTTTACTACATTTGTGCCTCAATCCATTGTATATTTGTAAATACCAGAAGCTTTCATCAATACTATCAAGCTTTCAGTAGCTTTTTCTGGTTTTCATTTATCTTTTTTTCCCAGGGTCCCAATAAGAGATGGGAAAAATCAGTTTTAAAAAGAAAGTGTTTTTGAACATTCATTCAAATGAGTACTGACCTCAATCAGATGGTATTTGTGGCCCTTTTTGCTCACTTTTCATAAACGTTAGTACCAGCACGTTTTGTCCATAAAAAAGTTTTCAAAATGGAAAGTGCTGTGAATATTGACATATTTCAGAGAAATGATGGTGAAAATATGCATTTACACAAGTATTGATGTTTGAATGGCCATCTTAAAGGGTTCGTGGGTTTGGGAGTTGTCCAGCTCTGGAGCACTGCCAAGATCATGTAACTTAGGTGACCAAAGACACAGCATAAATAGAGAACTATTCATAGCAAATCATGAGTGGTAGTCACAGCAAATAGTTTATGAATGACCCATAATGTTCATGTAACCCATTCAGCAAATGATTCTGAATTACAAATGTTATAAAAATCAGAATCTGCTCACTGCCTGCTTCTTGTCGGGTTTGTACATGAACAGCAAGGAGTTAAATTCATTAAGTATATCCTAGGCCACTCTCCCAATTTGAGTCCCAAATGTTGATGAGTTCTGGTTTAGGAATCGAAGACTAATTTGTGCAGGGGAGAGAGACCATCAAAATACAGGCAGGTCGGGCTAGACATTCTGTGATGTGCACACCAGTTCTTATGTATCAGGGTCTGTGTTGTTAAATGTATAGGAAATACTGTGGAAAAGGAGCAGGGATTAAAAAAAAATCGAGTGAAAAATGGAGTGGAAAGTGGAGAGACTGAAAAACAAAGAGTTAATTTAAAAAAGGAGTAAAGAGAGAGTAATCCTAGTGATCAAGCACAGCATATACTGTAGGACATCTTATAGCCTGTCTTTCTTAGAGGTAGTGAGGTAGTTCTGTCCCTAGTAACTAGCCCAGGCTTCCCTTTATCCAGGTCAATATTGTTTTAATTGAATTGCGGTGGAGTGGGGGGAAGAGAAATAGATTTCAACTGTGGAAGAAAAAAGTTTGTAAACTACTTGTGTGAACAACAACAAAAACTACCCAAACAAACCAAAAAGCATGTGAGGGTCTCAAAACCTCGAGCACTTTGATTTTGCCCATTCCTGATTATTATTATTATTATTGTAAAGTTCCTGTTTCTCCTTTGGATGGAGTTACACTTGAACCGCTTGCTGCAGCAGCTGTTTGCTGTATGAAACATCCATTCTTCATAGCAAGAGTTACTATACAAATACTCAGTGAAGTGAAAGATAGCACTGGCTGGAAATCCAATATTAGTTGTTTAATATAGTCAGGAAACTGTAGGCAGAGCAGTCCCATGGCTATACGGAGCCTCTTGTGAATATCAGAAATTCTTGTAGCCTCCACAAGGTTGTTAACATTTCATCCATTTTAAGCCCTGCTTCTGTTCAGGGGCTCCAGAGGCTTGAGGTCCTCTGAGCAGTCAATCTCTGCGAGATGCCTGGGACTGCATCTGACTATAGGTGTGTGTGTGTATATATATGTTCTCATTACTATGTGTTTTACCCATCTCCCATATTGTTCTGATTGGCACATGCAGGGTTGAGCATCACGTGCCAAAGAAACAAGAGCTCCTCAGTTAGAGGCCCTATCATCAAAGCACGCCTTGTTTCTTCAGATTCTTTGCAGTTGCTGGCATCTGAGAGTCATTTACACAATGAGCCCTAAGACTCCAGCAAAATGTCAGGCTCTATTCCAGTGTTTATTCCCATAGCCTAGTCATCCTCCTCCTCCTTCTCTAGAGAGCTATCTGTGCAGTAGGCAGATATTGCAACGTTCTCTTCTGTGAATGATTAATGCTGTCTAAGGTTATTTCCTGTCGTCTGTGTAACTCTATCTTCCTGGGGCATAACTAGTATTGCTTGCTCATCTTAGCTTTTAAGCTCCCATTGACACTTAAAGTCACCATGCAGCTTGTGAACCTGCCCTTGCAGATATTATTAAAGAGATTACCTCTGTGAGCCAGAGGTCACACCGGAGACTGTATTCCTTATCTTTCTGAGCCACCGAGCAGTCTTACAAGTTAAGCTGTGGTACACTGCCTACAGCTGGAAAAGGAAGAGAAATCCTATGGAGTATTTCCTAAAGCTTTCAATCTTGCGCATAGTCGGGCAGTAGATAGTCGGTGATATATAGAGATATACAATGATCATTTTCATGAGTGGACAGCTTGGCCTTCACTTCCCAAAATGCTAAAATGAATTAGGATTCTCCCAAAGACTTCCTCATGGGTGATGGCCCCATCTCACTAATTTTTTTACCTTCATCTATGATCTTTCTTTTCCCCAGAAGCTTCCACACTCCCCTGAACGATGGCATAAAAGAAACAAAGGAAACTGTTTGTTTCTAATTTTAATGTTAAGACCCTCCCACTTTTTGGCACATATTAAGACCGTGTGACATTCTGTGGTTTTAAAATTCCCATCACATTAATTAATCTGCCTTCCTTAAAGTTCTCAGGAGCTAGTGTATGATGATGTGGGGTTTCGGTTGTTTTTTTAATTAGCTAACCCCTGGGAGCCATGGTCATACCTAGTTTAGTAATCACGCCCAACACTGGGTCATCAGCAGGGTTAGAATTGAGTACCTAGAATAGTAAGCAGTTGTGATCTGTGGACCTGCCAGCACAGTTTACAAGTTCCATTAACACAGATTTTTTTGGGTTTTTTTTAATCTACTGTGATGGCAAATTGCTAAATTAAAAAAAAAATCTCTGTGCAGTGGTGGTGATGAATAGCTTATGACTCTCA